AATAAATAAATAAATAAATGGAAATGTAAATGTAAATGTAAATGTAAATAAATAAATCATATGTGATCCCTGAAACCAGCCCCAGTGAACAATCCACCTCTAGCATTTTGCACCTGCTGAAGTTTCTGATTACCTTTAAAAGGCAGCTCCATGTAGAACATGTTCAGGTAATCCAAGCAAGATGTAGCTAAGGAAAATAGATTTGTAAAAAATTGTTCCCAGCTCTGTATTCAGGGAGGTGCTGCTTGTGTGAGTTCAGAGGGAAAGAGGCATGAGAATTAGCTATAGGAAGAATGGTAAAATAAAAGTTTGTCCAGTGAAATTTCCCACAAATTGGTTGCTAGAATTAACAATAGCATACAGTAAAGGCAGCTAGGTTTGCTCTTCTTCCAGTGTTGTTGCAGATGGCTTGAGCATACTAATAACTGTTAGCAGTTTCCGTTCTGTGAGCAGTGTCATGTTGGAAGATGGACATCATAAAAGATAGTTTCAAGGTGTCTACATATAGAAAAGGGGGGAGGAGGCAAAAGACTTTGACCTCCAGGCCCCTTGTTTTGAATGCATGGTTGTTTCATGGCTTCAGTTTGATTGTAAGACAGCATTTTACAGTAAAGAAATATGACATTCCATATTTCTGCCTAAAGTCTCTGAGCTGTTGTAGACATTTCCCGAAGGCAAGTCATGTCGCTGTCAGCAAGTGATGAATGCATCTGTGTGAACTCGTCATATGCTGAAATGAGGCGCTTAAGGACACTACACGAAGAAGATATTCCAAGGCAAATGAATGTGTTGTAATAATAATAATCGTGTGTTATCAAGTCAATTTTGACCCTTTCCATGGTTTTCAAGGTAGTGAATACCTAGAGGCAGTTTACAATTCCCTGGGACTATGCAGCTTGTCTAAGGCCATACAAGCTGGCTCTTCCCCTAGGAGGTACATTTTATGTTAAAATAGAAAAAAAGAAAGAAAAAAAATTAAAAACAAATGGTGGCTTTAAGGCTGAACTCTTCGACTTCAAATTCATATTAGTAAAACCTGCTTAGGAGATAGATATATGTTTGTGTATTGTATATATATTTCTGGGCTTGCATAAGAGACTTACCCACCTTTTTTATGCATACTAAACATATTTCCTAATTTTTCAAAAGGATAACACATTAGATTGCCTTTTTTTAAAAAATGCCCCTTACTTCTTTACTAATTTGTTAAAACTGACTTGATGTGCAGACGATGTTTGTTTGTTTGTTTATTTGTTTATTTGTTTATTTGTTTATTTGTTTATTTGTTTATTTATTGCATTTATATGCCGCCCATCTAGACATAGTCTACTCTGTAATGTTAGTTTTATGTTAGTTTTATGTTATGGAGCATTGATCTGCTAATAACTTTAGAGCAAACTGTCATTAATGACTCTGCCAGTTGCCCCACTTGATACAAGAATAGAGCAAGGCATTGTTTTCCAGAGAGTTGCCAACTTCTGTCTACTACTCTCCCTTTAGAGGACCTCTCTTCTCAGACAGTATAAAACAAACCTCCTGGATTTTATCAAAAGAGGGCATGATTCTACATAACAGGTGAAAGAGAATTGGAAACACAACATGATGTTGATAATGCCCTTTGAACTATCTGATTGATGGAGGGCTTGTTTTCTATCATTCATTGCGCTAAGGGAGTCTGCACTGTCATTAATAAAACAAAAAGCATTGGAAATAAACGCTATTGTCTTGTGCATTCTAATGTTTGTGGTTCTGTCTTGGGTAAAGTGGACTTACATCTCTGCATTTTAATGACTGTATAGGATATTCCATGGAGGTGGGTTGAAAAATAGAAGACATATACATGGTTTAGGAAAGGTTTGTGGACGACGTTTCCCAAATCACTGGCCATGAGGACTGGCTTTATTCTGGATATTACAGTCCAGAAAGCTAACCTTCCAACCTCTGCATTATGTTGCTTAGAAAACTGTTATCTTATTTGGTCTTCTTATCCAGATTACATATGCTTTGGTTTGCGATTAACTGGACGCCAATATCTGGTCTCACTGAATAGCTCCTGAAACAGCCATTTGATTACATTGTTATGGTCCTAATGTGAGCTTCTTTTCAATGTAGCCATAATTTTAGCATGATACTGCCCACTCTGTTTAGGGAAACATGTCCATGTTCTTCACATGAAAAGTCTAGATCTAGCTACTGAATGTCTTCTTTTGCACATCTAATGGTGCCAAATTTTCAGCTAAACTTGATGGCTAAAACCCTGTTTCTTAGGATAGTACATTGCACTGGAGTAGACACACTGAATTAGTGGAGACTTCATGAGTCTAATCCTCCATGTGTTCAATTCAACTGTAATGGGCCTAACATTTGCAACTTACTTTAGTGTAGTAAGTCATAACTAGAGTGAACCTATTTGAATCAATGGAATATACCCAGGAGTTGACTCACCAAATACCCACTGATTCTATGGATCTACTCTAGTTGCTACTTATGGCTTACTGTGCTAAGCTACAAGATTTTAGCTACTATCTTTTATTGTTGCTATATGAAACAACAGAGCACTTGATCACATAAAACTAAGA